ATTGTCCTTGCTTTTCACTGCATTTTATTGTGTTCATTAATTCCTTAAGTTCTTCAGAATAATAAATTTTCTGTTCTACCTTGAGCCATTTTTGCTCCATGCCTTAACATGTCTGATGCTAATTTCATCAGTGTTGATTCTTCAGGTGAACAAAATTGTGACTTCCTTTGTATCTCTCCATCTGTTTATAAACTTTCCTCTAGCTCATGCACATATTGCCATATTGAACTGTCATTATTGCATAAGTTTCACTACTTTTTACTGCCTGTGACTTAATAATTTATATGAGTGCTAAATAGACGGTATTTTGTATGGTGCAGTCTGTGCCGTTTTTATGTTTAAAGAACCCAACTCTATGGAGTAGTGTTCTTGAGAAAGTGATAGTCACTCAGCTGTTTAATACTTCCCATGTTCATAAAAGCTACCCAAGATAGACACTGGGTGTAAAACGAGAGCAACTCATTATAGAAAAATGTCATATGGGAAGAAACCAAAGGAGCTGGGTTGACAGGTAACCTACATGTACTGTAAATTTCTTAGGACTGATAATAAATGTGTTCATGTCGTGGTGTACATTCCTTCTTCTGTATCAAATACAGTACATGCTAGTTACTTATCACTTTGTCTTTCCTGCTATTTGTACCATATCCCCTTTGTTCTCCCTCCTTCCAGAGATACGTAATGTTCTGGACTGTAGTTGGACATATATTTTGCTTTATGATGATGACAGTCTTGGATGTTGTGTCATGTAAGAAACTTACTGTTTCAGAGGTGTTTACTGCCTCCATCATCATCAGATATATAGGCTTGTTATAGTTTATGAACTGTGTTGGTCATGCGCATATTTTGTCATTTCAGGAAACACGATACCGTCAGAGATACCTAGACTTGATTCTGAATGAGAAAGTGAGCCAAAATTTTCATATAAGAGCACAAATTATTTCGTATGTGCGCACGTTCCTTGATAGTCTTGGTTTTCTGGAAGTTGAGACACCTATGATGAACATGATTGCAGGAGGAGCAACTGCCAAACCATTTGTCACGCACCACAATGAACTCAACATGGACTTGTTCATGAGGATTGCTCCTGAACTCTATCACAAGGTAAAAATGTTTGGTGTTTTGTAAAGTGGATAGGAATAGTGGTGACATATGTTACTTGTATCGAGTTTGGGTTGTGTCTGCAGCACCAGCTGGAGCCATGTTAAGTTCTGCTGACTTTCCAAGTCACTATACATAACAGTCCTATGGTCAGATTTGATCTACTTAACCCCAGTCTTCATATAGAATGTATTACTCTAAATAATTAGGCTTCTAATTTAATCTCTTCCAACAGAAGCTGTGTTATGTGATTGTATAGGTAGTTTTATTCTGGCAGTATGCCGTGGGAAAGTGTTGAAGACTTAAATTTAATAGATTGAAATGTTAGGGATTTAATTATAAGTGAAATGGATATTCATGATTTGTCTTCGTATTCTTGTAGATTAGCCCACTTCAAAGATATTAATAGAAATTAATTTGAGCGATAGTACAGTTCAAGTATTTCTTATGTCAATAGATGCTGGTTGTGGGTGGTATTGATCGAGTTTATGAAATTGGACGTCAGTTCAGAAATGAAGGAATTGATCTCACACACAATCCAGAATTTACAACATGTGAATTCTATATGGCATATGCAGATTATCATGATTTAATGCACATAACAGAGAGCATGTTATCAGGTAAGGATTTAATTACATTTACATCTTTTGACTTTCATAGTAACTATTTGTTTCAGTGATTAATTCTTTTTACTCCCAGGAATTTGGCAAAGAAGTTTAGCTTAAAATGGGTGTGGGGGGTCCCTGTTTATGTTAATATAATCAATGTAATTGGTATATTATAAGGGCTTTATTATATTTCAACAAATAGTGAACCTTACAAATGATCATAGTAGCCTTTATTTACCTAACACCTTACTGTGTGCCTGGCCAGTTAATGAGAAGCAGACCTTTATTTAAAAAAGAAGAAGTAATAATTCAATGGTTAATCATTATACACTGATAATAGAAAAGCTTATATGCACAGGTGTCCAGTTATTTTATGAACTGTAATTTTTGCAACAAACTTGAAACTCTGAGACTTGTCATGGCAGCCTTTTTTCTGATGACTCATTATTTCTTTTATAACACTTAATAGCATTTGTGCAGAAGAAAAATGAATAGGTGGTTGGTTGCTAGTCCCAGCAACCTGTTCTGTGTGATGGGGGTGCATGTTTCTTCTCTGTTGACTCAGATTTGAAAGTTGTGTTTGTCTTTATTTCTTGCTGCATGCCATTGGTTAATGACTGTTGAAAACTGACTACTAGACATTATGATAACAAAAAGTTATCTCAGTATGTTAAACAGGAACAAAGAAAACGACAATTTTAGAAAAACATTCTCACCTTTCTGGGAGTTTTGAGCATTGCGATGGCTTAGCATTTTTCTGCATACAAAGAAGATTGTTCCTCAAGATGTCAATTTCTCAATGCAAGATGAGTACTGAAAATTTGAAGAAAATTAATTGCCACTTATTGGTTTAAATAAGTGCAAAGCTTCTATAGCTAGCAAAGCATCAAGTTGCCTGAGTGTCAGTATTAAAATTGCATAGTAAAGATTTGGATACCAGTTTTGGTTCACTACACAATCAATCCTCAGGGTTTTGTATTGCACATCCATTGAAATTATGGTAGTCATATTACACTTCCTGGTGGTAGTAAAATGTGCATTCTTTATTCATCAGGCATGGTAAAAAGTGTACATGGCACATACAAAATCGAGTATCACCCAGATGGTCCAGGAGGAGAAGCTGTTGAAATAGACTTCACACCGCCCTTCAAACGGATCTCAATGTTTCCATCACTGGAAGAGGTACTGAATGTAAAGTTGCCAGATGCAGACAAACTGGGTAGTCCAGAGGCCACAAAGTTCCTGAGTGACCTATGTGAGGAGCGAGGTGTGGAATGTCCAGTCCCTCGCACTGCTGCACGGCTCTTAGACAAGGTGACACTGTGATGCACTTCATACTAATTTCAGGTTACTTCCACTGCAATCCAATTATATGGCAGCCCACTCTTCCACTCTGCCAGTCAGCACCATCAAACCCTACTTGCCACCTACTGCCTGCTGTAAACTTCCAAGAACACCCTGCCATTACATATTCACCCTGAAGATGGCAACAGCATTATTTGCTAAAGTTGGTTAATGTTCAGTATTTGATGTGGCTCATCCCTGAAAGCTGAAGTTGTGTAAAATAACGAAGTTTGAAATTGTTTCTTACCTTTAGAAACTGATTAGGCTTATTTTAATTTCAGTTAGTTGGAGAATTTTTGGAAGAGAAGTGCATCAGTCCTACATTTATCTGTGACCATCCACAGATCATGAGTCCGCTAGCTAAGTGGCATCGCTCTGTGCAGGGCCTTACTGAAAGATTTGAGTTGTTCATCGTGAAGAAAGAGGTAGTCAATGCATATACAGAATTAAATGATCCTGCTGTGCAACGGGAACGGTTTGAGCAACAAGCCAAGGTAATTGAATGTTTAGTAGATTTCTGTATATGGTACTGAGGGATTATAATGAAAGTTGTCAGGAGAGAATTGTATTTGCACTAATCACAAAGAACAAGTACATAAAATGTTTATTATTCCAGGAGACAAGAGTTTAGTCGAAATGAGGGTATCCTATTTAGAATGACCCTTCTATTGTCTTGATGTTTATGTATCCCTATATTCAGTAAAAATATTTTAATTCTAATATTTATTTCATAATTTACATACCATTGTTCCCATTACTTTCAAGATATAAACTCTTACAGTTGAGAATTTTAATACTTGAAATATCAAAGGCCTTTTGTTTTCAAATTTTTGGATTCTACTTCAGAATTCACATGATGCTGTAGTTCGTGGTGATAATTCTTTATATTATTTTATTGACCCTTTGTTGGATGAAAATGTGTATATTTCTGAAGAGGGAATTATACTTGAGAAGGAGGAGCATTAGGAGTCAGGTCATCGGTAACTACTTTGTTAAGAATGACTAGGATTTGAAGTTTTCACAGCACTGAGTCTGAAGATGGCTTGCCTTCTGGGCTGTAGTGCCTTGTTGATGCAGTTAGCAAGGACCTCTTTGATCCTTAATTTTACTAGTTTTTCTTGGAAGGTTTTTCACTTCCAGGCAGTGCTTAATGTCTTGCTTTATACCTCACCATGTCACAGAATTGGAGTCATGCCTAATGAGTGTGGTATTAGAAGTTTGAACCTTCGTGTTCTATCATCCTACATTTAGTTTAGTTTATTTAAAATCAGAGTCGAGCATCTCATCTTTGTTTTGGCACTGAGTTAGAGCAGTGGTATTCAACCTTTTTTGTTCGCGTACCCCCAGATATAATTTCTCTTCAACTGTGTACCCCCAAAGTTGTTGGTGTATAATTCAAGTTATACATAGTATATAATCTACATCTAAAATAAATTAAATAAATTACATTACTGATTATTCAGTGTTTATCATAAAATAATATATATATATTTTCCCCCTAAGATGTCTTCGCGTACCCCCAGATATAATTTCTCTTCAACTTTGTACCCCCAACGTTGTTGGTGTATAATTCAAGTTATACATAGTATATAATCTACATCTAAAATAAATTAAATAAATTACATTACTGATTATTCAGTGTTTATCATAAAATAATATTTTTTTTAAATTTCACATACCCCCTAAGATGTCTTCACGTACCCCAGTTTGAATACCACTGAGTTAGAGAATCAGTTTTGTTATGGTTTGCAGGATAAAGCAGCAGGTGATGATGAAGCTCAGCTAGTAGATGAGACCTTCTGCACAGCACTGGAGTATGGTTTGCCCCCAACAGCAGGCTGGGGCATGGGCATAGACAGACTGACCATGTTTCTCACAGATTCCAATAACATCAAGGTATGAGCTAGAAAAGCATGCCATGTGTTGATTAATATGTATCTGGTTCAAATCTTACCAACAGTTTTGATCATACGATGTCAATAAATTTTCTCTCTTATTTCAAATTCCATGAAATGATTGTGCAGATATGACACTGATCCACACTTATATAATAGAAACTGGAAATTCTAGATCAAATTTGAGCCACTCATAATGTTTGCAGAGCCATCAGGACTCGCCCTGCATAGCTTGCAGTTGCAGGGTGCCCCGATCAGAATGGTGCCCTCTGTGGCCAAGGATCATAGTATTCTTAACAATGCATCTTAAATTAGTTGTATATTTATTTATGCACGAGATTGTTTCCACAGAGCGATGTATTTATTGGATGTTTTGGAGATTTATCAAGTGATATTTTGCAAGTGAACAGTCCCAGACAACTTGTAAGGCAGAGATGACCAAGAAATTAAAATAACAAAGGGTTCTGATGGTCAATTGAGTGGAGGGTGTGGACAAAATGTTTCCTTCATATTTCACACCAGTTGTGTAAAACGTGGGCTTGAGTACGTCTTTGTTTTTGGCAACAGAGATGTTAAGTTCTACATCTATGCAGTATAAAATACACTTCTTATTTTTATAATCTTACATTTGTGGGGCTTAACAGGACTTTTTTAAAAGTGTTGCCTTACCTAACTTACAAAGCTTGCTTGACTTTGTAGAGGGAAAAAAGAGAGAAGTGGTCAAGGTAAGAGTTTAGTGTAATTGATGGGCTGAGGGGACTCTTAAATCAGTTTTTGCAGGGGGCTTTAAAATCTCACCAAACATAAATGCTGGAAAACTACCATGTGCTTTTCTCTTCCTGGACACTCTGGTTGGAATTGCTTCTCATATGCCATAAACATTCTATTGCTAAAAATTTTTTGCATGTGGGATTAGCATTTAAATTTAGATTTATTATATTATATGCATCATCATTATATGGAGAAAAGTTAAATGAGAACTTATGTTGTGGAAGTATTAAGGTACAATCATTTTGTAAAATCATTAAGCAGTTGTGCATAAGACACAACTCAAGCTGTCACATGTTCTTTACTTACTTCACATGAAAAGTTAGTTTGGGATATACATTGATATTAATTTGGAATGTGGTATGCAGTTCTTAAGTAGTATACAAGGCCACTGTTTTAACAGAATGCAATGTAATATTTTCTGTCCCACAAAGAGTATCTTCATGACTGAAAGTTATTGAAGACTCTTCTACTTACATGGTCCTTTCTGGATAGTAAATCGAACTTTGTTACAACCAAACATGTAATTATATTGGGAGCTGAAATTCTGGATTAATCAGAAGCATTCATAAACTGCACAGATCAGAATACATGTGTGGACACTCAGACAGTTCAAAATATTACTTGCATTTAAGCAAACAACAAAAAGGATGCTGGACTCTTTCACTTTGTGTGGGTGTTGTGTAGTTATTATAACATAGCATTCCTTTTTTAGTGTACCTTACAGGGATGCTGCATTTTCATTGTTACATGGTGATCTCTCTCTCTTTTTTTTTTTAAGGTGAAAATTATTATGTATCAGAATTGCTCCATATTGTCCAATAAAATAAAGCAACCTGATTGGTGAGTTCGACTAGAATGAGCAAATTGGAACCTACGAATTGAAAAAAAAAAGTCTTCTTTTTTATCAGCCATACTACATGGGTTATGCATTGAAATGTGGATGAAACTGTTAGATTCACAAAATTTACATATTTTGGGAACATTTTTCAGTTGTCTTAATGTCTTTAACTTAAATTGAAACATGTTGTTTGTTTTTTGTTATCTGTGAATATTTTATGATTTGTATTGAATTTATATCTTTCATTCCTTGGTTTGCCATACTATCGGAACATTCCAGATATGTACGTAAAAGTCTTATTCACATGATCATATGTTGCATTATCAGTTATAATTTGTCCAGTGTTGATCTTCTGGGTAATAACACTGTAGACTTGAAGACCAGCATTGACTTTTTCTCTGCCAAGAGAACATCAGATCTCATATAATTATGATTTTGGTTTGTATTTGTTCTCAATCATAATTTTGGTTTCCTCTGGGGAGATTGCCGCATCTCAGCTCAACAAATATAAATTACATTTTTGTGGTGCATGCAATCAGTTGATCAAATTCAAACTCTTTAAATGCATTTGAGATAAATATTTGAACTAGTTAAATTTGACTTCACCGGCATTAATGTTGTGCTGTATTTGTGATTAGTTGTTTTATCATTGTGTGTAGAATGAGTCACATTAGATGAATAGGGTGCTAGCACATGAACTGCTCGATAAATTAGTGCATGCTTATGTTTGCCAAAGGAATTTAACATTGTGTTGTCCACTCTTTTAGGAGGTGCTCTTCTTCCCAGCAATGAAACCAGATGACCCAAATAGACACAAGGAAGATGAAGAGGAGAAGATTATCATTACAAATGTGACTGCAAAGTAAACACATCAACTGCTTTTTATTAGCACACTCCCAAACTAACTGGTGGCTGTTTTATTAGGGAATATATAAATTAAAATAAATCCTTCATTGTGGAAATAAATTATTGAATTGTCAGCTTCCTTCACATGTGTTGTTGGTTGTCTGGAAAGTGTTGTTTTACAATGCAGTGTTAATTTTTGAAAAACAGAAGCACCAGATAACCTTTGAGTTAGAAGTAAAATAAAAAATTCCTAATTTATGATAGTATGTGTTTTGTGGACCGTTATTGCATGTTTTAATGTTTTCCCAGTCATTTGAGTATGTAGATTGTGTGATTAACTATGCCTACACTGTTTATCATAGAGGTAATGGATTAACTGATGAGGATATAGGGTAAGGCAAGGCTGTTTCTTGCCATATTTATTGAACCAGTCACCTAAGTCAAGTACTAAAAACTGGTGTCCCTGGGCTTATACCGGGTCTCCAATTTATGAGGTTACAGTCGTGCTTACATTGCGTTATCGGCCGCTGCTGTTGACGTAGGCGGGACTTGTACACGTGAGTCATGGGCGAGTCAGTTTCGGTGCCGCTAGTAACAGCGAACTATGAATATTTCTCGTCACTAATACATGTTATTACATTAATTGTTTTTACCTTAAATCACAAAAGATGTTCAAAGTGACTTCCTTGTGCTTGCAAGCAAGTTTCACATCTCGTTAACATGTTTCGAAATATGCGACGAAGCTCTTCTTGGGAAATTGTCGAATATTTTCTTTTTGTGATTTAAGGTAAAAACAATTAATGTAATAACATGTATTAGTGACGAGAAATATTCGTAGTTCGCTGTTACTAGCGGCACTGAAACTGACTCGCCCGTGACTCACGTGTACAAGTCCCGCCTACGTCAACAGCAGCGGCCGATAACGCAATGTAAGCACGACCGTAACCTCATAAATTGGAGACCCGGTAGCTCTAACTAAAACAGACAACTAGTATATTATTATCAAGCATTCTTCTTACAGTTAAGAAAACGGAGTAATGATTGTATTTATGGGGGGGGGGGG